CCTTGCTTATCAACGTCTCATTTTTTGGCTGATTGAAGTCGGTTTCACAAGGGGCATGGTGCATTGCCTGAGTGGCAGATTTTCAACAAAGCCGGTCTGTCTTGAGGCAGCTGCAAAGCTGCTCAAGTTGCTTAAATATAGAGAAATTTCACTCTTGGTATAAAAGTCAAAAGGAATAAATCAGAAATGGAGGTGATGCATGTCTTCCCTTTCTGCTCTTTTCTCCAGGGGGATTCTGGAGGCCCTTTGAATTGCCTGGTGAACGGCAAATACTCCGTCCATGGAGTCACTAGCTTCGTTTCCAGTAGTGGATGTAACGTCTACCGGAAACCCACCGTGTTCACCCGTGTCTCTGCCTACATTTCCTGGATCAACACTGTAAGTATATTGCAATAAATACCTATGGGGAAGAAATTAAAGAGGATATCAGAAGTACATATGATAGAAGTACATATGATAGGGTTGCCAATTCCAGGTTGGGAAAGTTCTGGAGATTTGTGGGTGAAGCCTTGAGGACGGTGGAGTTTTGTGAGAGGAGGGAGCTCAGCAGGTATAATACCATAGAGTCCACCTTCCAAAGCTGCCATTTTCTCCAAGGGAACGAATCTCTGTTGTCTGAAAATCAATTGTAATTCCAGGAGATCTCCAGGCCCCACCTGGAGGCTGTCAGCCCTAGCTACTGAGTGGTCTATCTTAGCTATGTTTTCTACTGGTAAAAAATGTCAGCAGAAAAGGATGGTTGTAATTTTTACCTTCCTCTCTCTAGGGTTGTCAGCTCTAGGATGGGAAATAGCTGGAGTTTTGGGGGTGGAGCCTGAGGAGGGTGGGGTTTGGTGAGGGGAAGAATTGCAGTGGGGTATAATGCCAGAGATTCCACCTTCCAAAGCAGCCATTTTCTCCAGGTGAACTGTTCTCTATTGCTTGGAGATCAGTCATAATCCCAAATCTCCAGCCACCATCTGCAGTTTGGCAACCCTATCCCTCCCTCCTGGTACAGACCCACACACACAAATATCACTCCCATGATTCCAGAGCAACAGGTTCGGGGTGAGGGGAGCAGCATGTAGTAGTTGAGAGTGGGAGAAAAGGCAAAATTAAAAACATAACACTAATTTGAAGTGAATAGTGTCCCCAGAAATGCGGAGAAACACTTCCAGAATGAGGTACCAACTTGTATTGGGAAAGGTTAAACAAGAAACCCGTGTACATACACACACATCTTGTTAGCAGGGGTCATTTCGTAGAAAAAGAGCTAGGGGAAGTCATTAGCATAACTCATAAAGAGCTAGGGGAACTCATTAGCATAACTCATTAGCTTATGCCACACCCCCTGACATCACCGGAAGTGTGTCATAAGGCCACACACCCCACCCCCAACAGTCCCGGCCGCTGGCGGCGGCCTTGCAGCTCCAATGCCGAGCGCGACCCCCTGACATCAGGTGGACCCGCAAGGCCAGCAGGAGTGCAAGGAAGCCCCGCGAAGGCCCTCCCTGGCCCCAGGCAGGCAGGGGTGGGGAGAGGCAGGGAGGAAGCAACTTACCCTCCCTCTTCTTCTGCCTCCTCCTGGCTGAATGAGGGCCGGAAGCAGGGGGCGGGGCTTCATGTGCCCCGCCCCCCGTACCTCACCCGGGGGAACTGCGATCCCCCGCGCGCCCCCCGAAATGACCTCTGCTTGTTAGTCTACATTTTAGGTAGACTGCAACAGCCCTCATATGATTGAGGGATAACCTGGTCACCCAACTGGCACATTGACTCTTAGGAAACTCTGTCTTTTCTAGCCTTCTTGCAGAACTCTACAATTTCCAAGGTTCTTGGGGGAGGGGATGACCAATAAATAATTTTAAGTGTAAATATGCCCCTTAGCACAATCAGTAAATTATGCTTGTAAGCTTACTGGCAAATGCCCGTCTCCATTGTGATCTTGGCCTTGTTGCACTCACTGTCTCAGGCTAACCTGTCTCACAGGGTCATTGAGACAGTAAAGTAGTGGAGGGGAAAAGTCCCGTATACTGCCCTGAGCAACTTGGAGGACAATGGAGATTTAAAAAATCATTTATTTTATTTACTTCATCCCTCATGGAGACCCACAGTGGCTTACATTAATTCCTCCATTTCTATCCTCACAACAACCCCATGAGGTAAATTAAGCTGAATGTCCATAACTGGCCTAAGGTGATAACAAGCCACACTGCAGTAATAGACAAACCAGTGTGGTGCATGTATAAAGGGAGGGGCTTCTGCATTTGAAGAAGCCCTAGAGAGTATGTTTCTGTGCACAGAATTTCTGTCAGTGGGGGACCAGCCATTCAGAGTCAACAGTATAGTGCAGGTGTTGGACACACCACAGAAATTTCCACAAGTATAGCTCTATAAGAGTGAACGGCAGACATTTCCTTATATGATAGAAAGGGAAGCATGTTGTGAAGGCCCAACCTGTTCCCTTTTCCTGGTGAGAAATAGGGTTGCCATCTCCAGGATGGAAAATTCCTGGATATTTAGGGGTGGAGTCTTGGGAGGTTGGAATTTGGGTTTGAACGTTCGGCTTATAGCGATATATCGATATATCGCTATACCGGAACCTCTAAGGAGTCGCATTCCAATGGGATCATTATTGCGACCATTTGAGGTTCTGGTATAGCGATATATCAATATATCGCTATAAGCCGAACCTTTTTTAAAAAAAAACCGATCGCCCGCGCGGGAAGAAAACGGCGGGAAAACGAAGCGGTGCGTGTGTGAAATGCCGAACCGCTTGTGAATCGGCTCCTTTCCGGTAGGGGCAAGCTGTGTGTGAAACGGCAGCCCTGTACCAGTTCATCTGGAAACGGAAGACTCCCGCTTTGAAACTGGGAGAAAACTGGTAATGTGAAATTCCCCTATGTTTCTGTGCACAGAATTTCTGTCAGTGGGGGACCAGCCATTCAAAGTCAGCAGCATAGTGCAGATGTTGGACACACCACAGAAATTTCCACAAGTATAGCTCCATAAGAGTGAACGGCAGGCATTTCCTTATATGATAGAAAGGGAAGCACGTTGTGAAGGCCCAACCTGTTCCCTTTTCCTGGTGAGAAATAGGGTTGCCATCTCCAGGATGGAAAATTCCTGGATATTTAGGGGTGGAGTCTTGGGAGGTTGGAATTTGGGGATGGGAGGAGACCTCAGCAAGATATAATAGCAGAGTCTACCCTCCAAAACAGCCATTTTCTCCAGGGGAACTGATAACTGTAGTCTTGTTGATGTTGTTGTTCAATCGCACAGTCGAGTCTGACTCTTTGCGACCCCATGGACCACATCATGCTAGGCCCTCCTGTCTTCCGTCGTGCTCCCGAATTTGCTTAATTTCATGTTTGTTGCCTCGATAACACTGTCCAACCATCTCATCCTTTGCCGTCCCCTTCTTCTTTGACCTTCAACCCCATGGACAGTAACTGTAGTCTAGAGATCAGTTATTTTATTTATTTTTATTTATTTATTTCATGGGATTTCTATCCTGTCCTTCCCTGCAAGCGGGTCAGAGCAGGTTACATTGTACCAAATGAACTATAAAGCAATCACACATAAACTCAATAAACACAATCCAATTTTACAATTTCCATGATATCCAATTTAAAACCCTAAAACCAAATTTAAGTCCAAATTTAAATTCAGGATGGTGAATTAATAGTTTAACAATTTAACAGTATCCCAGGTATATGCCATATACAGTTCAGAAAGACCAGCATATCATGGAGGTCCAGCCCATAGCCTATAATACAGGTGATATAATATACAGCATAAACTGATTAAAACCAGCTTGTTTGAGCAGGGGAGGCCATAAATTGGACACCTGCCACCTCAACCAAAGGCCTGAAATCACCAGGTCACACCAGGAGGTTGGCAATCCTAGCTGAGAAATGACAGTTTGGCCCATCTTTCATGGTTGTGTCAAGTGTGCCAGAAGGATGGGGACTAGTTGTCTCTGTGTGTATATATAAACACTCAAAATAATACACAGAAGCAGAGCTGGAATCCTCAGTAGTTTTTTTCCACTGGAGCTTTCCCTGCTAGAACATCTATTGCCACAAATTCATCTATTCTTTCATTATCAAAACCTGAATTTATATACCACTTGATTTTAAAAAGCAGGGAATGCTTGGCTTAGTAACTTTTTTTCTTTTTCTTTCAGGTAATTTCTTCAAACTGAACAATCTAGAAAACAGAAGTTATGTCCAAAGCCAAAATGGTCTACACACCATTATTTGTCAAAGGAATGTGGAACCACCTGCAACCCTTGCAGAAATAAAGCTATATATACATACGTCGAGACATATTTTTTCTCTTTCTTTATGTTTGGACATTATATTACACTTGGTAATAGCCACAGAATCTCAGGCTGTTTAGGACTCTTATATGAGTTATGCAGACTATAATTCTCCTACATGGTTAAGTTTGGGAATAATTTTGTTCACTTTATGTGATTTCCCCACACACACACCAAGCCAATGTGATGTAGCGGTTAGAGTGTAGGGTCAGTGTTCAAAGTCTTGCTGACCAATCACTTTCTCGCCACCTAATTTACCTCACAAGTTTTGCTTTGAGGATGAAATGGAAAAGGAGAAAATCATGTATGCCCCCCCAAGCTCCTTGGAGGAAGCGTGGGATAAAACCGCTCTACATAAACTAACACATGCCAGTTAAACAGGACTATGCCTCAGAATGAGAAAATGCAGCACATACATGTCTTGATTGGCAGATTCACCTTTCTAGGGGGAAGCCTCTTCTCAAAGTAAAATGGCTGTTGCTGGATAGAAGCTAGCCTGGGCAAAGAGGTACCAGTTTGTATGGGGGGAAGAAGGAAATAAGGATGTGGCTACTTGACTGTGCTCGGATTATCTCAACCTCCAGGAGGGGCCTGGAGATCTCCCAGAATTACATCAGATTTCCACACCACAGGGATCATTTCCCCTGGAGAAAATGCAGCTTCACAGGGCAAACTCTGTGATATACTATGGATTCCACTTGCAATCCCTCCCCAAATTCTCCACTCCACAGGCAGTGCCCCCAAATCTCCAGGAATTTCCCAGGCTAAAGTTGGCAATCCTGTGTGTGTAAGTGAGAGAGAGAAAGAGAGAGAGATGGAAAAGTGCTGGTGTCTGTCGATTTTGTGTGAGGAGGGAGCACAGCGCTGTGTTTGCATATTTGTGAGACACAAAAAAAGACTGTGTGTGTCAACTATCCAGCATGGCTCCATTTTCTTCCTAACGTAGCTACCACCAGAGGTCATTTCGGGGGGGAACGCAGGGGAACACAGTTCCCCCGAGTGAGGTGCAGGGGGGCGGGGCACATGACGAAGCCCTGCCCACTGCTTCCGGCCGCCCCGCTTCCAGCCCTCATTCAGCCAGGAGGAGGCAGGAGAAGAGGGAGGGTAAGCTGCTTCCTCCCCGCCTCTCCCCACCCCTGCCTGCCTGGGGCCAGGGAGGGCCTTGGCGGGGCTTCCTCGCACTCCTGCTGGCCTTGCAGGTCCACCGCCGGGCCCCTGATGTCAGGGGGTGTGGCATATGCTAATGAGTTATGCTAATGAGTTACCCTAGCTCTTTTTCTACGAAATGACCCCTGGCTACCACTATGAACACCATCCTTTCCACACACTTGTTCCTTCAACCTCCTCTGGCCTTCCTTTCTGAGGTATTTCTAGGGTTGCCAAATCCATCATGCTCGGGAAATTCCTGGAGATTTGAGGACAGTGCCTGGAAATGGCAGAGTTTGTTGAGGGCAGGGAGCACAGTAGAGATGTGACTCTGTAGCCTCAAAATAATTTGTAATTCCAGGAGGACTTTAGATCCCACCTGGAGGTTGGCAGCTACAGGGCCATACCTTGTCACACCTCAGTCCACTCACCAATATCAGAGTTCTGCAGCCAACTGATCGATGTTGTTGCAACATGCAAAACAATCACGTCTGACTATGGCAGAGAAATAAGATGATATATTTGTTACACATGAGAAAAATGAAGCCAAGTACTAGGTACCTGAACAAGTACTAGGTGGTGGCAGCAGTAATAATCGTATGCACACTAGGAAGCTGAGCTGTGAACAAGGGCATTCCCAGTTAAATTCTCACCTCTAGCATGAACACAGTAGGTATCCTTAAGCAAACTTCTATTTCTCCACCTCAGTTCACCTGCTGTTTAAGAGGATAATCATACTGTCTTGAATTGCTGAGATAAATTCAAAAATAAAAAAGAACTTCAGGTTAGGGCACTTACAAATTCATTTACGCTACAAAAAAGAGGACATTGTAAGTTAAAGCTCCATCCTTAACTTCCATACCATGTCACCAATGAGGATGTTTAAAAACAACCACCACCACGAACGAGAACATGCTGCAAGGTTTTACAGCACACAATATGACAGCAAAGAATTTTCAGTAATATAACAGGGCAAACTCTGTGATATACTATGGATTCCACGTGCAATCCCTCCCCAAATTCGCCACTCCACAGGCAGTGCCCCCAAATCTCCAGGAATTTCCCAGGCTGAAGTTGGCAATCCTGTGTGTGTGAGTGAGAGATGGAAAAGTTAGATAAATTAAAAAATAAAAAACAAAAGAACTTCAGGTTAGGGCACTTACAAATTCATTTACGCTACAAAAAAGAGGACATTGTAAGTTAAAGTTCCATCCTTAACTTCCATACCATGTCACCAATGAGGATGTTTAAAAACAACCACCACCACGAACGAGAACATGCTGCAAGGTTTTACAGCACACTGACAGCAAAGAATTTTCAGTAATATAATTACAGAAAACTTCCAAGGGTACAAAAAACTGTTCATGAAAGCCTTGAAGATTTCAGAAATTTGTGATAGTAGCCATAAAATGTTCATCGTAACACCCATCGGACAGGCATCGGTTTAGTTGTTTTCTTCTTCAGCCACTCCTTACACTGGCTAAAGTAATGCAATCATTGAAATAAAAGAGAGCACAGCTGAATGGAGCAAAGAAGCATATGCATATGAATTTGCCCAGTACTGAAACACAAACTCTAGAATACTAAAACAGAAACATGTAAAGGTAAGCCGTATTAGCATGGAGCACTGCCAATCTCATTAAGTTTCCTTTTTTCAACAGGTGGGAGCACCTAAATGTATCATTCTAGAGCAGATGAGGCACAGCACAATATTTAGTGTTCATTTGCAAATCAGACTCCATACACTTTCATTTGCTCTTTTTTCAGACTCTTCCCCTTCCAGCTGGTGCTATATCCAGTCCTTGAAATGGTGTTTTCATGTCATCGATTTTGATGTGCAACCAAAGCCTTATTAAGGATTTGTTTTACTAACCCCGTGTTCAGTGTTGCGCCACCAACTTGCAGAGGAAGAGAATTGGGACTACAAGATCAACGGAACATGTGGCTTTTCATTATTTTCATGGAATGCTATGCTATCCCACAAAATATTGAAAGCCAGTGTGGTATAGTAGTAAAGAGTGGTGGACTCTAATCTGGAGAACCTGGTTTGATTCCCCACTCCTCCAGATGAAGCCAGCTGGGCGACCTTGGGCCAGTCTCTTAGTTCTCTCAGAACTCTCTCAGACTTGCCTACCTCACAGGGTGCCTGTTGTGGGGAGAGGAAGGGAAGGTGATCACTCTGAGGCTCCTTCAGGTAGTGAAAAGCATAAAAACAAAAAAACAAAAAAAGAAGTGGCTGAAAAGAATTCTACCAATTTTCAGAGGAGACAGGAGGGTGGCCATTTTACTGAGGCTGTTCAAAACATAGTAACACCCTGACCTGGATGGCCCAGAAGCCAAGCAGGGTAGGCCCTGGTTAATACTTGAATGGGAGACCATCGAGGTAGTCCAGGGATGCTACACAGAGGCAGGCAATGGCAAGCCACCTCTGTTCACCTCTTGCCTTGAAACCCCTACAGCTGTGACTTGACAGCACTTTCCACCACCAATGTTAACCAGGGGTCATTTCCTGCAGGAGCGCACAGGAGCGGAGCTCGGCAGTAAAGAGCCCAGGGGGCGGACACATG